TGGGGTATTAGTGGTACCCTCTGCACACTTGTGCTCCAATTGTGGGGTATTAGTGGTACCCTCTGCACATTTGTACAGCTTCAGCAATGTGTTAAGATTGTTGGGTGGCTTTTCCAAATGCCAAGTGAGGGTGTGGGCTCCCCAAGGGCTGGGCCTCACATTCCTTTTACACTCTTGCTGGATGCATAGTGAGTATGAATTACCACCCACTCAGTTAATGGTGAAGTATTCCATCTAAAGGGATGTCAGCAGGTGACTGGGAGGGGCACCAGCAGTTCTATCTGCTGAGAATAGAATTAACTGGTCCTTAGAAACATTTGTTATACATGGGTCTGTCCGTGCGTCTGCTGCTCTGGGAAGTTTTAGTGCTCAGATCCAGGTGATAAGACTTACCCTTGGACATTTTCTCCAGAAGGAGTTCCAAGTTGGGAGTATTAGGCTGTCTAAATTATAGGACTCAAACAAAACAAAACAAAACACAATATTAATAAAAATAAGAAAATACTCACACTGCTTGTGGTTCCTTAAATTTCCCTACTTGCTGAATGTGGTACATGAGGTCCCCACCGTTGACGTATTCCATGACGAAGTACAGCCGGTCCTGTAGACCAAGGTTCACACGTGAGTAGGGCTCCTCCCTGGCAGAACCGATCTGCTTTGCTTTCTCATTATCAAATATGGGGTGGCACTGGTAAGTTGCTCTGTTGGGGGGCACTGGCAGGTCTGCTCTTTTGGGGGGCACTGACAGGTTGCTCTGTTGAGGGGCACCAGCAGATCTGCTCTGTTGTGGGCACCAGCAGATCTGCTCTGTTGGGGGGCACCGGCAGATCTGCTCTGTTGGGGGGCACCGGCAGATCTGCTCTGTTGGGGGCACCAGCAGGTCTGGTCTGTTGGGGGGCACCAGCAGGTCTGCTCTGTTGGGGGGCACTGGCAGGTCTGGTCTGTTGGGGGGCACCGGCGGGTTGCTCTGTTGGGGGGCACCAGCAGATCTGCTCTGTTGGGGGGCCCTGGCAGGTTGCTCTGTTGGGCACTCTTACAATCTTTTCCCGGTGGTGGGGGATACATAACTCATCCTATGGCATGGGGACCTTGAGAAGGATAATGTCCTTTCATAGCTCTGTAGGTGATGGCTGTCGGATAACCATACTTCCTGGTTTCATATGTGCCTTGTTACTGTAAGGGCCTCAAACACTCTCTGCCTTCTCCCGTACAGATAACATATCTCTAAGCTAGTGGTGGTGTGAAGACTCCACACGGGCCCATCATTTCATCTTAACCCATGTTATCGATGGTGCACATGTGTAAAATCTGGCCTGCGACATCCAGGAGGTACATGCTAATGCAGTTACACGCCTAAGGGGATGCTTCTAAAAATACATCTCTTGGGTTAGGTTGAACTCGTAAATTACACAAACTTATGATATGTAGGTGGGGAGGGGAGCACCAGAGATGGAAATTTTAATCAATGTTCTTTGCCTCCATAATGTGTTCAAATATTGCCTTTTTATAAAAATTTTCCCTGTCACTGGTATGCTAAGTGCTGGCCCCACGGAGGGCATACATCGCTGAGCCAAGTAAGTCTGCATATTTATGAGGATATTATGCTGGGACAGATGGGAGAGACCAGGGAATTTAATGAGGAAATAACCAACAGCACAACAGAGCATGGTAAGAGCTGACCTCTGCTCGATTCTAGAAAACATCTCGAAGCGGATACTAACACTAAACTGCAGCTGGGGGAGGGAGAGACCACCGAGGGAGCCAGTGCGGTGCTAACAGCCGGAAGTGGCTTCGGGAGCTCCACTCCTGGGCTTTAATTCCACCTTCATTTCTTTGCATTGCAACTTCCCAGTGCTGCACAGCGTCCATAGGGTCAGGGAATGGGATGCAGTTTCCCTCCCATCTTACCACTACCTCTGGCGGGGGGCTGGAGCAGCTGACAGCCTGGGTGGAGGGTGTGTGTGTGTGTGGGGGGGCGGGGTGGTGGTGAAGGGGGCAGAGCTGACCGAGTGCCCAGTGTGAGGCTGACACACAGTGGCCGGTCCCGGCTCTGCAGCCCCAGTCCAAGCCATGCCCACGGGGATGCCTCGTTTTGAGACTGACTATCCAAAGGCATTTAGGGTGTTTCCCAAGATTTTAAAAAGGGAAATGATCACATCTCAATTTCTGACCACAGGGCAGCTATAAATGAGATGGCAGATAATGATAGCTGTTGGAGGAGTGAGCCCCGACAACTGTACCTCATTTAACGGAGGTGGGAAACATCTGCCTGCACTGACACATTGTGGTGTATCTTTTTTTTTTTTTTTTGAGACAGGATTTCTCCGTGTAACAGCCCTGGCTGTCCTGGAACTCGCTTTGTAGACCAGGCTGGATTCAAACTCACAGAGATCCTCCTGCCTCTGCATGCACCACCAACGCCCGGCTCGTTGTGGTGTATCTTAATGTGTATGTTTCTGTGGTGACTGGAAAGCCCTACAGTGCATTTCTTTCTTTTTAATTTTACTCTGTGACAAGGGTCGCAGAGTTATTGGGGTCTTTCATAAGGGCCCTTTTCCAGTAAAGGGTCAGATAGGGGATGCAGGTTTTGCCTGTCTCCTGTAACTCCTCATCTTGGCCTTCACAGTGGGGGGCAGCTGCAGGTGACAGGGGAGTGGCTTTGTCCTCAGAGAGTGACTTTCAGACGCTAAACTCTGCATTTCACATGCCAGGAGATGGTACAATTTGGATTTATTTCTTGTGATCTTGCTCACAGCTCCTGGGCTGCAGGGCGGGGAGTAACTTGCTATTCCTACTGTGTCATTATACAGGGCACGCTCCTTAGGAAATGGAGTTTCCGTGTTCCAATGCTGTGCTCGGCAGCTGGATCAGTGGTCTTTAAAAACAGGGCTGGCCAGGCATGGTGGCGCACACCTTTAATCACAGCACTTGGGAGGCAGAGGCTGGTAGATCTCTGAGTTCGAGGCCAGCCTGGTTTACTAAAAAAGAAGGCAGGGCTGTGAATCTATGGCTGTTCTGTGTAACTCTTAGCACAGGGCCTGCATGAAGAAGACCTCTTTCATACAGCCCATGTGCAAGCCCCTCATTTAAAGTGGTTTAGTATTTGTATGTAATTCAAATATATATATATATATATATATATATATATATATATATATATATACCCACTGACACAAGATCACCTTTAGATTACTTATACCTAACATAATGTAAATGCTACAGTAATGAAGGATGAGCAGTGGCAGCCTGTCCCCAAAGGAAACTGAATTAAATTATCAGGATGAAGAGGGTCTTGAGGCCATGACCCAGCCTCCAGACGAGAGGGAGTGTATTGACAGAAACCATGGTCCTTACCACAGTCTGGAAACAGGAGTGCAGCTGTGTCAGGAACGGGGGCTTGTCTAGCAGGGCCAGAACCCGCTTTTCCACCATGGTGCACTCCACGTCATCGTCCTGGATCACCACGTCCTTCTTCAGGATTTTGATGGCATACAGTTCCTCTGTTCCCTTCCTGTCAGCGAGCATCACCTGGGGAGAAAAGGAGAGAAGGCTCAACACTGGTGGGCAGACCTCTGGTGCTGGGAGTAGGAGCGGAGGGTGTGAGGAACAGGGTCAGGGGGCAGCTCAGAAACAGCTGGTGTCTGGGAGTGCGGGATGAAAAAATACTAAGGATTTGGTATGGTTGCATTATGGGTAGCATTACTTAAAGTCCACATGTAGAAGTCTTGGTCCCTGGTGTGGCAACAGTGGGAGGTGGGAGACCCTGGTTAATAGTGGGGGGGTGGGAGACCCTGAAACAGTGGGAGGTGGGAGACCCCAGCAATAGTGGGAGGTGGGGGACCCCAGTAATAGTGGGAGGTGAGAAACCCTGGCAATAGCGGGAGGTGAGAGACTCTGAAACAGTGGGAGGTGGGAGACTCTGTAGGAGCTAAGGTCTTTTCTAGCTTTATTTCTGTTGCTGTGATAAAATACACTGACTGAAAAAAGAAAAAAGAAAATAACTTAAGGGGGAAAGGATTTATTTCAGCTTACAGGTTACAATCCATCATTGTGGACAAATCAAGACAGGAATGTCAAACAGCTAGACACATCATAGCCATAGTCAAGAGCAGAGAGACATGAATACACACATGCGTGCTTGCTTGCATGCTTGTGTTCAGCTCACTCTTGAGTAGTTCAGGATGCCTTGCCTAGGAAATGGTGCTTCTCACAGCAGGCTGAGTTTCTCCATATCAATTAACTTAAGTAAGATGATTCCCCATACACAGTCCCATAGTCCAAACCAATGTATACAATCCCTCTCCATTTCCAAGAGATTCTAAGTTATGTTAAATTGACAATTAACGCTAACTATCACAGTCCTTAGGTTATTGGGGGTATGTGATGCCCTTGAAGGGCACTGTGGGACCAGGGTCACATTCTTTTCTTGTTTTGTTTCCTGGCTGCTGAAGTGATGATGCAGTTTGTTCCAGCACACATTCCTGCCATGATGTACTATCTTTTGAGCGACCAAAAGTAATGGAACCACTCAATCATGAACAGAAACCTTTAAGACCATGACCCAAAACAAACCTTATCACTTTATAAGTAAATTGCTTCAGGTAATTCTATATAGTTACAGAAAGCTGGCTAACATAAACTTTATATCTGGATTTCAAGTATTGTAAGATACTTCAAGTTAAAATTCCTTTAGCATTCATATTCCTTTTTAAAGTATCCAGGTTTGTAGACAGTGTAGGGTATTAATATACAAAGTTGCTACTTTGTCTGATAATGGGAATATTTAATATTCTTTAATGGGATTAGTCTGGAATTATTCATATTCATGTTTTCTGGAAACATTCTGAGAGTAAAATGTAACCTTTGCAATCTTCAAGGCCAAGAACAAAAACACAGAAAAAGGCAGGCTCAAAATCAGTTCATGGGTCTGTCACAAGGTTTGGGGCCACAGAAGACAAACAGTGAGCACATGGCCCCACTGTAGGGTCTCACCATGACAATCACCCAGGCTTAGGGTAAGTTCATGTTCAATTTCTAGTTGTAAAAATCAATCATCCTACTAGCATTTTGGAGCATGTCCTCTAATCTGAACATGGGGAAAAGGGGATACCACAAACGAACTCTTTGTAGTTTTGTGTGTGTGTGTGTGTGTGTGTGTGTGTGTGTGTGTAGTATGCCCACATGTGTGTGCACTCACTTGCATATAAATACACTGAGGGACCATATGTATATGTTCATACTGTTTTTTAGACTAGAGGACAACCTCAGACACCATCCATCATTTTTATTTTATTTTTTTCCTCTTCTTTCTTTTTATTTTTTTTTTTTTAAGGTAGAATCTCTTGCTGCATTGAACTGGCCAAATGGGCTAGGTTGGCTGGCCAGCTGGGCCTCAGGACCCACTTGTCTCTGGTGCTGGGGCTATTAGTGCATGCCAGTAGACCTCACGTGGGCTCAGATCTACTTGCAAGTACTTTATTGACTGAGCAATCTCTGCAACTCAGCACAGTTGTTCAAAAAGGTTTATTTTATTTCTAATTATGCATGTATGTGTGCATGTGTGTGGTGGGGTATGTGCATGTGAGTGCAGGTGCCCTTGGAGGACAGAGGTACTGGGTCTCCCAGAGCTAGACTTATAAGTGGTTGGTTATGAGCTGCCTGAAGGGTGCTGGAGATCAAACACAGGTTCTCTGGAAGGAAATCACGTGCTCTTAACTGACAGTCATCTCCCCAATACTCTGGCTGTTTTTAATGACGTCCAAACTATCTGAGCAATGTGCCTGTATGATCCAATGCTGTGCAGCACTGATCCAACATTTTGTGCAAAACTCCCCCTTCTTACCTTCCCAAAACTCCCCTTCCCCAGCACCATGAGGAAATTGAAGTCTGTGAGCTTCACTCTGTCAAGGTTGTTGGACGGTTGCTTCCTGTCTTCTGAAGGGCTGATGACTTTGTTACCAGCAGGGCCGAGCTTGGCTTTCTGAAACAAGCACAAACATGAAAAGCCATTGGTCATTTTCTCCCCCAAGGAAAGAGTGACAGAAACCAGCATGCTGTTAATAAGCTGGATGTCAGTGGTGAGGAACAGGCTGAGAAAAGCAATGGGAGGGTAAGGAGTGATGGCCAGCAGCTCTAGGCATCCCTGGGGGAAGATCTACAAAGTAATACTCTTCCAGCCTTCACCTAGCTAACAATTCCATACAATAACCGAGAGTTCATTCAAAAGAACCTGCCACGGCAGGTGAATTCTGATTCTGGGATGGAAAGTTGACTTCTTGAGGGTAAATAGTGTTTTGAGACTGTTAACATAATCAAGGAAATGAGACTGTGAGTGGATTTTTTTTTCTTAGTTGTAACAAAATTAATCCATATGTAGGAAATTTGTACCCAGGCAGAAACGACAGCAGAATGTTCTCCAGAGAGGAGCAGCTTAATTGGTGAGCTTTGAGGATGATTTATTGCTGCTTTCAAGAGAGCAGGAAGAACAGGGGTTTGTTTAGTTAAGTCAGGAGTTGGATTGATGAAAAGAAATAGTCAGCTTCTGGCATCTGGTTTCACATCAGCCTGGAGGACACTCGGTAAATGATGCTCTGGTACCAGAAGGAGTTTTTGCACACTGGAGTTGCACCACGTCACAACCCTGGAGGGGGCCGCTGGTGTTGGACTCTCACAGAGAGTTCCACTCTCACCTCCAATGGGGAGAAGGAAGAGGGCTTTGGCAGAAGGAAAAGGCCAATGAGATGCCATGGGCACTGATACTTCAGTGGTCAGCAAGGAAGCCCCTGAGAAAGCAGGGAAGCCAGAGCTGGTGCAGCGTCACACCCTCTGTCAGACTTAGGGTTTTGAAATGTCTGTTTGAAAATGAGAGAGAGCCAGTGTCCTAGCATTGGTGCATCTTCCACAGCCTCAGACCCAATTTTAAGGGCAAGGATAATTGCTTTAGATCAGTGGTTCTTAACATGTGGTCTCAAGTCCTTTGGTTGTCGAATGACCCTTTCACAGGGGTCGCATATCAGATATCCTGCATATTAGATTCCTACATCATGATTCATAACAGTAGCAAAATTGCAGTTAGGAAGCAGCAATGAAAATACTTTCATGGCTGGGGGTCACCACGGCATGAGAAACTGTGTTACAGGGCTGCAGCAAGAGGCAGGTTGAGAACCGCTGCTTTAGATGCAGTCTTTATGTTAGGAGCACCTCCTCTTCCTCAGCGCCGCAGACCTAAGTGTGGGTGGGAGCTCAGTAGTAGGAGCTAGGCTCTCACTCAGGTGGTCAACACCTCTACGGGTGGGTGTCTTCATCACTGTTCTATTGCTGTGAAGACCAAGTCAACTCTTACACAAGACAGCATTTAAGTGGAGGCTTGCTTACAGTTTCAAAGCATTAGTCCATGATCATCATGGTGGGGGCATGGCGGAAACATGGTGACACTCATGGTTCTGGAGCAGTAGCTCAGACTGACATCCTGATCATCAGGCAGAGAGGCAGAGAGACTGGGCCTGGCATAGGCTTTGGCTACTTCAAGGCCCACCCCGCAGTGACACACTTTCTCCAACAAGGCCACACCTCCTAATCCTTCTCAAATAGTGCCACTTCCTGGTGACTAAGCATTTGAATAGATGAGCCAATGGGGGCCATTCTTATTTAAACCACCACAGTAGGTCAATGGGTAGATGGCAGAGGAGGTAAGGAGGCATCCAGGGGTCTCACTATGGACAGATGCCTTGGCAAAGCGGGGTCCCAGCTCTAGGGGAAAATGTGTATTTGTAGGTTTGTTTCTTTATTATCAAAGACTTCCCACATCAACGAAGACAATCCTCACAGACGTGACTACAGGCCAGCCAACCCAATACAGGCAGTCCCTGTGTTAGGATGGGAATGTAGGCATGACGGGTGGATGCTCATACTGCTGAGGAAAAGTCTCCCCCAAAGTGGAATTCCATCTGTGCTCACAGAGGGAGGCTAGAGGGAACCAGATCAAGACTTCACTAATTGTACTCAATATAGACAGCTGGCTGCTTGGGGACCCAGCCCACGGGGTGGGCTAGATCTCACCCCTGCCCAAACTAGTCCTGAGGTATAAATGACCCAGGTATTTGTATAAATGTGTCGCCATCCAGAGTGGCACTGCCCACCACCCCAGTTTTCCTACAGAGCCATTTCCATTCGGCCAACTGCAGGCCTTGCTGCATAAGGACACCAAGCAACCTCTGATTCTGAGTTTTCTTTCACAGCAAAAAATCCATAAGTACTTCAGCTTCGCTGGTCTGGGCCTGCCTTTGAGCAAGTTCCACTCGAAGGAGGGGTTCAAAGTACTATGAAGTTCGAGAAGATAGCCAGGGATACTTAGCAACTGTGTTAGTTGTGAGTGTGTGTGTGTTGTGTTGGGGGTGATTTAGGGACAGTCCTAGAGGCCTTCTAGGAGGGACCCTGGCCAGAGACCAGATGCTGTGAACAGCTGGATTTCTCTTCTTCCCCCGGCCACATTCTAGAAGGCACAGCCATCCCATAACAAGATCTGCTTCCGAGCCCACCACTTCTTCCTCTTGGTTCTGAATGGGTTGCTTGGCAACTGGCTTCACAGCAGGACCCAGAGACTTGCCCTTCCTGACTTGCATAATGTTGACATTACTCTGGCTGTTGGAGTGTAGTGCAGACTTCACCAAGAGTGCAAATCGAATCAATGTATGTGTGTGTAGGGATACAGCTGGAGCCCATTGCCACCTGCTGACATCCTTTACTACGGCAATGTAAACAGGGACCAACATGGGCAGATGCCCTGCTGGGGTGAGAGCAAACAGGAGTCAGATGGCAGAGGCTGACAGCAGTCAGTGACAGGAGGGGGAGTGCTCAGAAGCCCCCTTCCGTTTCTACCCGATGTCAGCCCTCACCACAAGGCAGGCAGACACTGGCTCACACTTCTGTCCCTTCAGAACCATAAGCTAGATAACCCTCTTTAATTCATATACTGGCTAGCTTTGCGTATTTTGTTGCAGCAATGGAATAGGGACTGACTCCCTGTGGCCCTTGCTCATGCTTGTGCTCTATCTAGTGGCTGTGTATGTCTCATGGGCCTCACAGCCTCTCAGGGGAGGGCATGGCGGGAGAGCAAATGGAGATTTCTGCAGCATCTAGATATCAAGTTCCCTGCAGGGTTGGACTAAGATCAGTTAAGGCAGTGGTTCTCAACCAGCAGGGGGTTGAATGACCTTTTCATCAGGTTGCATATCAGATATCCTGCATATCAGATATTTACATTACAATTCATAACAGTAGCAAAATTACAGTTATGAAATAGCAATGAAAGTAATGTTATGGTTGGGGGTTACCACAACATGAGGAATTGTATTAAAGGTTTGCAGCATTAGGAAGATTGAGAACCACTCGGTTATAGGTTATAGGTAAAGGTGTTATAGAAAAAGCATATCGTTGGGCATGATGGCTCATAACTTTAATCCCAACACTCCGAAGGCAGAGACAGGAGGATCTCTGAGTTTGAGACCAGCCTGGTCTCCAGAGTGAGTTCCAGGACAGCCAGGGCTACACAGAGAAACCATGTGTAGAAACAAAGCAAAGAGCATTGGAATTATTCAAAAAAGGGAAAAATGAAAACCTTGATGTGCGATGCTGTAAACGAGAACAAGGTAATTCTAAATGCTAGAACTTTCCCCTGTTCTCTCCTTTTGTCCTTAACAGCATAGCATGTGCTATTGGCTTTGACTAAAATAACTTGCACCTGGGGAATTCGGATCCTTCAAAAGATGGAACCTGAACATTTGTCAAGCCTGGCTTCATGATGCCACCTGGATTCCCAGGTGCTGAGACTAGCCAGTGTCCACACCTCATAAGGAAATGAGCTGATAACCAACTAATACTGAATCTCATTTGGAACTACAGAGGCATTTTGTAGCCCCTGAAGTGCTACAGGTTGAGTTGGGGACAAGCAAACCGTATGACAGAAATCTGAACACTGCAAACCCAGATCCGCGTGTGCCTGTGTTTACTGGAAGTGAGTCACAAGTCTATACAAGTGGCCCCCTCCTGGGTCCAAGGACTTGTCTGTACAATGTGAGAGACTCCTTACACTCAGCTCACTAATGCAGGGTTTGCAAATTAAAACCAGGACGAGTTCCATGCCAAATGACTTGCATCGTGGGGTGTGATGGTATAACCCTGAAGTCAGTTTCTGCACATGGAGGCAGAGGCAGCTAGACCAGGAGTTCAAGGCAGATTGGGTTACATAAGTTGCTGACTTTAAAATCCATAAAATAATGATAACAAAAGTAATTACTTACATTAGGTATATGAAGGACAGGGTGGTGGGAGACACATTTTCTATCAGGTTAAACCATTTGCAGCAGCAGAGCTGGGATAATTTGACCTCTGGTAGCAGCGATGGCGGAGGTCTAAGTTAATGCCAACGACACCTTGCCTTGCTTGAATTGTGTGCACTGAGTGTACGTTGGCTTTGCTAAACAAGCAACGTGACCCCAAAGACCCAGTGTTATGGTGAGTGTACCGTCATCACTTGTTGGCTTTCACACCATGCCTCTCTGCCTGGAAATTTTGACAAGAAGTTCTGGTTTATCCAAGCTTAAGACCTACATTGCAGTATGAGAGCAAGTCTCCCGGTGGTCATTTGGTAACCTCTGAAGTGCCGGTCAGTGTCTGACTCCACTCTGCCCCACTCAAAATGTTCTGATTCTCCAGCTAGTGTGAGTATGGCTCTGATGAATGTGTTTATCAAAACTATTTGCAGTGTGACATAATGACACCCTTTGGACTTGAGAGCTGTGGAAGGGTCTTTCTACGTCTGACATTCCAGGGGTGACAGGCCAGTGGTGCCCAACCATGGAAGCACATAAACTGTTATGGATTTCTTTTACATGTTTTTTCCTTTTTCTTTTCATGATGAAAATGCTGACAAGACATTTCAGCACTGCTCCACAAAGCAGGATGGGTTAGGGGAAGCAGATGTGCCATACAGAACCAAGGCACAAAACCTTACCCTCAAGGAAGTGGATTCACCCATGCACACTGCAATACTGGCTCAGAGCAATTGAGTGCTTTGAAGCAAATCGTGAGGACTTGGGGAGGGCTTGCTAGAGGGACCTGTCATCTAGGTTAGTGCCGTGTTTCCGAACAGCAATGAGTCCTGACATCTAGTCCTGCTACTCGGTTGCTAGGCAACAGGTTAAAAGGATGCTACTTAATGGGTATTATGGGTCTTGGGCAGCACAGTGAAGTAGATGAGAAGCCTGCTGTTCTCTGGCTAACTCATTTGTCATTTATTGGAACAGGCCAGGCATGCTGCCCCCTGGAGACCTTTATTCTTTCTGCCTCCTGTGACCCACATAGGCATACCAACCTTCCTTCTAGTCTACAAATGATGCCTTAAGCATCTGGGATCCCCCACTCACCCTGTCAGCTGTCCCTGTCACCTTGCTTCCTGTGGTTTGTGTTTCCTTCTGCTTTCCTGGTCTCTTTATGCTCTGTGAACCAGTCACCCCTCTCCTCTGGTTCTCTCTGGTCTAACTCCAGAGCATAGGACATGTCTGGGATACAGCGTACCTCAAATTCTCTGAACAAATGAATAATTGTTTTTTTTCACATAACATTTTCTAAAAGGCAGAGTTATTTCTTCTTGAAATAAAGCGATATGTGTTCATTTTAGAAAAATTTAAGATGCATACATTTTTTTTAAAAGAAAGAAATAAGTACCTATGATTTTTATCAGCTAGAGACAATCACTGGAAACATTCTACAGATGCCCTGCAATCTCTCATTTTTCACATCATAGTTAACAGGCACAGAAGCCCCCTGGAACCTGCATCTCCTCAACATGTGTTAGGGAATTCTCACTCCCTGCCATCAGACACCTCACTGTTTCTAGAGCAGGCAGGTGCACCATTTTCTGTTTGAATCTCTCTCTTGTTCTTAGACCCCAAGTAGATGCAGAGTCATCAGGTTAAGGTTTGGATTGGGCAAGGCTGGTGACGTCCACTAGCGACTGTACAAGGACATCTGGGAAGATCGGGGGGGTGAGGGTTGGGGTGGGAAACCCAAGGAGTCAGGACACACCAATTCCAAAAGACAAGCCTTGACTTCTTCTAGGACATCGGTATACATTATTGGTTGGGACTTCTAGCAGCGTTCTTTCAGATCTGGTTTTGGGACCATCTTCAGTCAGGTGTGTCCACCTTTTGATACTGGGAAAAGATGTTATCTCCAAGTTCATGCTCTAGAGCAGTGGTTCTCAACCTGTGAGTCATGACCCCCTATGGTGATGAAAGACCCTTTCACAGGGGTTGCATATCAGATATCTTGCATATTAGATATTTACATTATGATTCATAACAGTAGCAAGATTACAATTAAGAAGTAGCAATGGGAGGGGGAAGGCTGGAGGGGAGGAGGGAGGAGAGGGGAGGGTCTGTGGTTGGTATGTAAAATGAATAGAAAATTTCTTAATAATAATAATAAGAAGCAGCAATGAAAATAATTTTATGGCTAGAGAGTCACCACAATATGAGGAACTATATTAAAGGGTCATAGCACTAGGAGGGTTGAGAACCACTGCTCTGTAGGCTCACAACTGGATTTAAAAACATTTACACTACATCTACGCATGCATGCGCACATACACGTAAACACCTCTTAATGTTTTAAGTAAGGTGATGATTTTGTGTGAGGTCACATTCACAGCTATCCCCAGCCTCGTGCATGCTCACAAGACCTGTGGGCTCCATGTTTGACACGCTAGGAGGAACAGTCTTAGAAGGGTGGCATGACCTGAATGCTTATCCATCTGCCCCAAATTCACATGTGGAGACCCTCACCCCTGATCTGACAGTGTGAGGAAGTAGGAGGAGACAATGAAGTCACTAGGGCTCCACAGTCATAATAGGGGTGTCCTTATGAAAGGGTCTCATGCTTTCTAGGGAAACAGGAACAAGCAACCATCTATGAACCAGACACCAAGTCTGTGCTGCCGTGACCCTGAACCCCCTGGGATCGAGGGCTGTGAGCAATGGGTCACGTCTGTAAGGCTCGTGGCCTGCGTGGTTACAGCAGAAGGAAAGCTCATCTGTACAGAAGGCACATAGCTGTCCCCAGGGCAGGCCACCTCCCTCGTCACCATTTCCTCCTGACCGCATGCTCTTGTTTATACCCTTGGACTTAGGGGCCTGGATGGCTGTCAATGCCTGTTGACTGGAGTTTTCTTCCCAAGCTGGGAGTCACAGATGAGCAGCACATAAACCTCAGGGGTGTACCAGTCACTCTCCCCAGGACCACAGACAGTCTGTCAGCCCTAGCAGGTGCCTCTGAGGAAGACGCCTGCATGTCGATGAGGATGTCTGAACCTTGTGATGGTCTCCAGAGCCAACTCCACTACCTCCAGCCCCTCACAGGGTTGTTCATGCTATGGAGGAAGAGAAGGATGCCACTTTCTCCCAACACAGGATCCTGGATCCACTGGCTGCCCAGAATGGGTGCAACCAGCCTCAGAAGGATGGAGACAAGTGACATAAGGGTGTTCAGGTTACAGACGAGGGGTCTGAGGGACATGTCCAGATTCATTCCCTTCCTTGGTTCTGAAGCCCAAACTCTAGGCTTTGAATTAGCAATCTCCCCACTATACAAAGGCCAGTGCAGGCCAAACAGTCTCTTCCATCATTACCCACCTCTGCTGCTGTGCCATGAAATCCAGATGAATGAATGTGTGGCTGTGATTTAGCATGGCAGGCAGTGGCTGGGATGGGCCTCTGGGGTGCAGTTTTACTTTTGTCTCATGTCCTGTAGATTCTCAAATCACTTATCTTCACCTGCTGCTGACCTTTCACAGTTTTATAGATTTGATTTTTCAGTGCTGGGGATTGAACCCAGGACCTCAAGGCTAACATTCTACCAACAAGAGCTTCACCCCAGCCCTTCAGTTGTACTTAGATAAAATGCCTATGTCTCCTTGCTAACTTATCAGGACAGCAACGATGAAAAGTTCCCAGTGCATCTGAATCAATTACCATTCAGTCTCTTCTGTGGTATTTGATGCTCTAGGTGGTACAGGCAGGCAAATAAGGCTGTGTCGCCAAAATAGTAGGTACTCATTCAGCAAAGGCCAGGGGATGCACAGTAAGCCATTTCCATAATGAGAACTGTTTTTAGAGGCCCATCCACTCAGGTGGCTGCCACTGTTAAAATGAAGTCAGGAAGTCAGCAAGCCTTCCTGTTGTGGCAATTGAGTCATACTCCAAGGGTGGGTGGGTGGGTGAGGGAAATGTGGGACCCAGGATCTGTTAGAGCTTTGCCTGGCGTGGACAATAGTGTTTGGTTATTTTTCTACCAAGCCCTATGAGTTTCTAGCATGTTATTTTCTTTATGGTTATCTATTTTTCCCTTATGCTTTTTGATTCACCCAATGATGGATGGCATGCCTGTTAAGCTGGCTAATCTCGTTTTCATACATGTATACCGAGTATTTTGGTCCCTCTCCCCTATTACCATTTCCCATTTCCTTCCCATTCCCGCTGATTCCCTCCTCTTCCTGGCTAGTCTTCCCTTCCATTTCAAGTCTATCTTTCTCCTTCTCTCCCCCCCCCTTTTTTTTTTTTTGCGGGGAGACCCAACTGAGTTTCCTTAGAGTTCCAGGAGCATGGGCACCTTAAGAGTAAATACCCCCACCCATCAGTTACTATTAACTGCCAATAGCTCTTCAGGGAGGGTGCAGTTTCATGCACCCCTCCCCCCCACCACCAACGGTTAACCTAACCGCAGCCTCCAATTCCTCAGGGGAGGCTGGCTAGACGAGAGGCAGCCCAATTTGCCTCACCTGGTAAGTGGTCCCCTGAAGGCTACTGTCCTTAGTTCTCTCCAGTTGCTATGGGAGGGTCCTGGGATCCCCAAAGGATCCTGTTTGAAGATCCTCCAAATTTTACCTTTTCTGAGTGTTTCCACCCATGAAAACAGTCTTTCTCCCACTGGGGCTGACACCACGATTTGTCCGATGTCCACTTTAGGGAAGTCTAGTGTAGGCGGAATAGCTGTGATCTACAATGTTATTAGACTCTTTTCACACTAACCCATTTCTTTTCCTGCCAGGGATTGCCACCACTCAGGCTTTGCAGGGTTGGGAGTCTCTGGATTCACACATGCTGTCAAAGTAAATGGTTTTCCAGACTGTCAGCCATGTTTAAAGGCAGGGGATTCTCTGGGCAAGCAATAGATGGAAGGAGCCAACAAGACCTACAAGGCCCTTGACTGTTTCTCTTTTAGCACCGTGATTGTTGCCTAAAATTGGGAGCAATTGGGAGCGTGAAATGACCATTTATTTTATTGCCATTCCTGTTCATTCACAAGTAGAGGCCCCAGGCGGCCCTCTGCTTCTGCTATGGCCTGTGTTCATTAAGACGCAGGGAGTCTGGCTTTTGCGAGTCTTTACTGCCCTCTTGTGGTTTAGCTCCTGGAGCAGTTGTACCCTAACAAGGCTCTTTTGCAGAAATTCGCCTAAGGTTTGTGGCAGTGGCGTCCCATTGAATACTGCAAAGTGGTGCAAAGAAGGTTCTCCCCAGACGAACCTTTGCAGAAATGCCCCGAAGCGCTGAGATGAGAGAGAGGCAAGCGCTTGCCAATGCCACCCATGGTAAAATGCCAGAGCGAGTTTTAGAATCACCAGGTGCTTTAACTTATAGAAAACTGCAAACCCCAAACAGGTAGAGATCATTTTGTGTCTTCTGAATATTCTAAAACCTCTGCTGCACTCAGACTCTGCAGGTCACAGGACCAAGAATGGATCGGAAGAGAGAGGGAGGCGGTGGCGCTGCCAGGGACCCTGGAGTGGGCTGAGAGCCACGGCATCTACTTAGAGAAAGAAGCAGACAATGACCTGCAAAACGAGGAGAAATGATGGTTGTTGTCACAGGAGGGCAGAGTTCAAATGAAAAAGCCACTCCTGGGGATGTTCAGCTAGAATCTGAATAAGCATAAGAAGCCAGCTCCTGAAGTAAACACCCAAGCTGTACACGCCAGGGTGACCCCGAAGCTTGCTTTCCCTCATGGCTGTATAGCTTGTGGGAAAGATGAACAGAGCACCACACTACACCCCACCTCAAAGGGGCTCAAAACCTGTGCTTTTACATAGGGCTCTTTGTTTCTCTTTTTATGAGTCTGTCTCTGAAATGCTGGATCCACTTGTTCAACTACTTGAACATAAACTTTTTCTAAAATGTCTCTAGTTGACAGGAGCAAGCATTTTGAAAGCTGAGCCAACTGCCATTAAATTCAGCACACAACTTTTATAATGTTCTGTTTTAGCCCATGTTCATGGAACATTTTAAAACCACATGGTTTTCCATGGACCACCTGCTTCCAGGACCGGGTGCAGCTGTCCTGCTCTGTGTTCTCCTCCGGGTTCCATGGCCATCAGCTCACAGGGAAGGTGGGGACTTCAAGAGTTGTCACAGACTTCAATGACACTTAGGACATCCTTAATTTCTCTGGGGCCTCAGTTTTGTCTTCTGTCAAATGGACTGAAATTCTACCCCGTCGTTGTCGTCGTAGATGAATGGGATCTTCCATTTCTGCGGGCTCAGCCCTGGGCGCTACTTCGATAGCAGTGCCCAGCCACAGCCATTCCAGGTGGCAGGCGGTATCAGAAGAGATTCAGGACGGGTAGAGAGGAAGAGATGAAGCCTCAGCAGGGAGAGTCCCAAAGAGGCAGACTCAGAGAAGGCCAAGTGGTCCCCAGGGTTCTCCTGCCAGAGCTGGTCTTCAGAGGAATGGGGGGCGGGGTTCCTGGAGGAGGATCTCCAATGTAAGACAGAGGTGTAAATCTACATCTTTTTCTCTGGGTGTGTGTGTGTGTGGGGGGGACACCAGGCTGGTGTAAGAGACTGCTGGGGGTCACTTTTCTCCACGGCGCTCTGGGCCTGGGGTCCTAGAAGGCTGTGGAAAGTTGAGGTGCAGACTTTGTTGCAGTTTGCAGCAGAGAGGAGGTAGCTGAAGTGCAAGTAGCTTCAGGGGTAGAGAGCCTCGCACGGGAGAGGAAAGAGGCGCGGGCATGAGGCTTCCCACATACTAGATGTCCTGGAGTCCTTTGGATGTAACCCTTGAAAGTGGGCGGGGACTTTGCACTGGTCGGCCACCGCACCCTCCCTCACCCCAAGTCACCAGCTCTGTGCAAATGTGGCCACTCACGTATGGTCCTCGCTGAGACCAAAGGTCCTGCTTATTTCTGTGTAGCGTGTCAGCTGAGGCACGCACAGCCTCTGGGGGCCAGCCATGGGTGGGTGCTGACAAGTCTATTTTCATAAAGGTCCACAAGGTGAAGATTAGCTTGTGGCCAAGCCAGGGCAAAGCCCCTCTGAGGTGTGAGGGAGTGAGTGCCCTCCAGTTTTGCTTCGGGGTCAGGGTGCATTATCCCGGCACAGGCAACATTGCCTATCTCAGGCAGAACAAGCTGGGGTTCTTCTCCTAGGGCTTATCATAAAAGGCACAAGAAATACCCAAGATAAGAGCAAACACAAAGCTTCCCGGGAGGAAGCTCTGTGGCGCACAGTGAACTGAGTCACCAGAATTCTCTGTCCCAGGTGGGAGAAACGGAGTGGACCAAGGTCCACTGGCTGCCTGTGTTTGCTGTGGTTTGGGTGTGAAATGTCCCTCGGAGGCTCATGTATTTGAACACTTGGTCCCACTGGTGGCCCTGTTTGGGAATGTCTTGGAACATTTAGCAGGGAGAGCCTTTCTGGAGGACATGAGTCAGTGGGGATGGGCAAAGCCCCACTTCCTGTCCATCCCCGTTTCCATGGTTCCTCCCCGGATGCCACCATGCTACCCCACTACGATGGCCTCTAGTCCCTCACTAAAACCTCTCTTCCCTTAACTCCCTTGTCAGGCATTTTATCAAAGCAACAAGAAAAAGAACTAACATGGTACCCAACGTACAAATGGGGGCTTCAGACCCAAGCGGAAGAACAGAGCTTTTGAGTTTACTTGGAGATGGCTACTGAGGAAAGTAACTTCAGAGGCAGCCTCTTGATTTCTACCTCCTGGGGCAGGGGTTCAGGGAGAACCCCAGGAGTGACAGTGAGGGATTCTAAGCACCTTTATATTTACTTTAACCATCCAAGCAAGCCTTGCCAGCCTGGGCCTTTTTATCTCTTCCATATTTAACGTGGAGGGACAGAGGCTAGCCAGGCGAGCCAAGGGACAAGGTGCCAAGGCCACCAGCCAGGCAGTGGGAGAGCCGGGCTCGAGCTCAGGAACGTGGCACTTCCTGCCACTGTACTATGCTGCTTCCTGGAATACCAAGCAAGGTAGGTGCGAGTGAGTGGCCAGCCAGTAGAGAGGAGTGGTCCTTTCAGAGAGTGCGCAGTTGTCCACCAGCGTTGGGAAGAGCAGTCAGTTTATCTGCTGGGAGGGGGATCTGGAGAGGCGATGGCTTTGTCCTAGCTCTGTTTTCCCCATCCCTCTATTTTTAAAAACGTGTATGTGTGCCTATATGTATGTATGTGCACAGTGGGCATGCAGGTGCCTGTGGGGGCCACAAGAGGGTGCTGGATCCCACGGAACTGGAGTTAGAGGTGCTTAGTGAGCTGGGAACTGAACCCAAGTCTTCTGCCAGAGCTGTACAGGATGGTAACTGCAGAGCCACCTCGCCAGCCCCAGCCCTCTATTTCCCTCCTCAGCTATGTCTGTGTTCGATACCCGTGTCTGGTTCTTCTACGTCGTTTCCAACATCGAAACAAGGACAAGGGCACATTGCTTAAGCATGTCACATCACACAGGCTAATGGTTTAGATAGCATTTAGGGTTCCAGGACCCAAGAACCAGCATATTTCATCCACCTGCAAGTGTTTGTAAACAGGAACCGCCTTCACATCCTGGAGCGGCCGGAGGCAACTATTTACTCTTGAGAAAACAGAAGGGGTTGCTCGGAGGGAAGACCTTGCCCAGTAGCTCAGTATATTCAGGGGGAGCCAGCTTCCCAAGCTGCTTCTCCAAAGAAACGCAGAGTGGTGAAACAGTTGTTAAAAGAGGCAGTGGAGGGCAGAGAGAGCAGTTCTTGAAAGCACTGCTCAGAAGGGTCATCACTCCGCTCTCTGGACATAGCACCACGAGACAAACACTGCAGCCGGCCTGACGCAGGCTTCCCTTAGAATGCACGAGGCACAGAAGGTGGCGGTCACCTGATGACACGGGGTGGGGGCGGCACCGGCGGGAAGGGGGACCTGCTTTGGGCCTAGTACAGAACCACCTCTTTCTTGGAACAGTGAAAGGCCTGGAAGCAAGGCGCATGTGGCCAGGCCCATTCTCTCTCCCTCCTCAGGGCATTCCTGGGCACTGGCATGGTCTTACGCCAAACAGTTCCACTGTACCTGTAGATGTGTTTTGCTAGGCGCCATCCACGCGACGGGTAATGGGCCTTCCTGTTAGCACACATGTCCGAGAGCACACAGCTAGGTTCCCAATAATTTTACACACACATACTCAAGACCAAACCCACATTAGTCTTTTTTCCCAGTTCAAGTTAGTTCCCCCCACCACCATCATGTGACTCTCCAAAAGGCTCATGTAGCTCAGCTTGGCCTTGAACTTCCTGTGTAGCCCTGGTGACTGTGAAGTCTGGTATTTGTGCCTCTACCTCCTGAGTGCTAAGATTACAGGTGTGTGCCTCCATGCCTAGTTTATGTTCTATCATGCTGTGGATCAAACCCAGGTGCCTCATGCACCAACCAAGGGACATGTTCTTAATAAAATCTGCTTTCTTGAGGGCTTGGAGGTTCTTCAGTAACTCAAGATGCCTGAGATTCTCCCAGTAAAACAAGCTGTGAGACATGGGTTAACCCATCCCGGTTAACTGAAGGTCACATCACCAGGCTCTGTGTCCTCCAGCTCCCCACTGCTGTCTAGAACACCCATGTGACTAGAAAGCTTCACTGTCCCAAGTATTAACCTTAGTGACAATGAATCGATACCCTCTTAACAGAAAAATAAGAGGGGTGACAGGAGCAGTCAGAGGTCCATCTGGTATGAGGCAGCTTCAGAGAGAGGATGCCAGAGAGGCTGGTTTTCACAACCCAAATCCCACAGCCCAAGTGGGTCACAGCATCCCTGAGCCTAAATAGGGGTGATGAGGGGCAAATGCAGTGATTCTCAACCTTCCTAATGCTACGATGCTTTAAACAATGTCGTGGAGACCCCAGCCATAAAATTATTTTCATTGCTACTTCACAACTGTAATTTTGCTATTGTTAACAATCATAAATATCTGTGTTTTCTGACAGTCTTAGGTGACCCCTGTGAAAGGGTCATTCAATCCCAAAGGGGTCGCAACCCACAGGTTGAGAACTGCTGGACAAACGGATGAGCCATTAGAGTGGTAAGGCTTTGTCTATTAAAATGGGAAGCTGGTCAAACATTTTACCAAGTGTAAACACATTTTCTTCTCTTACATCTATCTTGTAATTATGAGCCTTTAGGTCAGTACTCACAAAACTATAACTGTTCCCCAAAGTAGAGTATTTTATTCTAACTGCCAAAGCTTTGTTTTCTGGCCAGAGAGCTTAATCTACAACATGATTAAGGGAGCCAAGCGGTAACCAACCATCCGCTGGAATCTTGGAGTTGGAAGCATTTTGACTGGGTCCTCAGCCACCTTTTGCTTTAGTACCTCTAAGGATGAGCCCAGATACACTGACAAGATGTAGGAAATCCCTGCCTCCAACTTCTGTGATAGGTCACCCCAGGAAGACCTCCAGGGGAGACACCTCAATACAAGTGCCCTGCACCCCAGAGTCTTCCACAGCCACTGGGAAATTATTCTTGGTGTCAAACGGGTTTACAAATAAGCCCAAGACTTGGCAATTTTTGGCGATGCTAAACTAACCCAAAATCTCCTTCTGAAAAAGGTCAAAGGGAACCATGAAGTGACTGAGCCCAGAATCCCCAGCACTCCTCCTTTCACACCTCCAAGGGATCTAGGGAACACATTCTGGACCAGTGGACATGCAGGCCGGAGCCAGGATGGTGAACGCTGGGAAGCCGTGCGGCTGGCTCTGTGTTAAGGGCCAAAGACCTGGGAGCCACGGAACACACCAGGTTCCTGAGGCCTGGCACTCTCGGCCTATGTAGTTTGGAAAGTGTCACTTACATATCACAGCAAGGGTCTCAAGGGATAAGAGATTCTATGCATGAAAACAAGCTAAAGTCCCCAAATACCCACGAGCACCCCAGACACAGGTTCCTGAACCTCATTTTAGGAACTGCCATTTTGAATTCTTAAAAAAATTTTTTGAGATGAAGTCTCACTATGTTCCCCTGGCTAGATTGTAACTCATTATGTAGAGCAGGCTAACCTTGAACTCACAGAGAGCTGCCTGCTTCTTCCTCCCTAGTGCTGGGATTGAAGGTATGTACCACCCCATCTGATTTAAAGATCCATTTTAACCATTCTTAATTATGTGTATATGTGTATAGTTCTGTGTAGGCGCATATACGTGAGTGCCGGTGCTCACAGGATCCAGGGGTGGTGGATTCGTAGGAGCTGGGGTTCCAGGCAGTTGTGAGTCACCTGACATGGTGCTGGAACTGAACTCAGGCTTTCTGAGAGAACCACAGCCCCTCTTCACCACTGAGCCAATGTCTTCAGCATCCCCAATCTGGGTTCTTGAGGCTCCTCTGGTTTGATTGTGATGCATGCCATATCACCAGAGTGGCAACATTTTCCAGCTGTGAGGCTTGATCTGGACAAAGAGGATTTGTAGCCTGAACAGAGCCCCACTCACCAAGGGGGACGTGGGAGGAGAGGTACAGTCTGCATCATCTGAGTCTCTAGAGAGTGAACAGAGGTAGTGAACATCTCCCACTGCTCTACACTCCTCCTCCAGGGGTGGTGCCTGACATAGACAGGTCAGATGCATGCAGCCAGCTAGAAATGCCAGAGTTCTTGATTTCTGGAGTCACAAAAAGTGTGGGAAAGAAGTTGGTCTCTCTCTTATAGCAATCAGATTCATGACCAATGTGGGTTTTACCCAACTGCTACAGGGCTTTGGGCATGTAAGGGTAGGGTGCTTTCAGACCCCAGAATGGCTTTCTGCTGCCAGCCACCCCCAGAGATAGGTGTGTCTAGAAAAGAAACCTTTAGTTTGTACAATGGAATCAATTTTAAGAGGCTTGAGAATTATGTCAAAGTTTACATATATTTAATGTGCTTGGGACTTAGGAAAGTGGAGGAAAAGGGAAAATAAGCCAATATCAAGATGCATGGCTAAGCACTGTGTGTGTGTGTGTGTGTGTGTGTGTGTGTGTGTATGCACATGCTCAGAAAAGTGGGTGCTGCAGGCGAGAGCAGAGGAAGAGGCAGGAAATAAGGAGAACCATTCAGACAGGATAATGGAGTGCTTATACCATTGACTTTGCAAGTGTGTCCCTTCCCCATCAACAAGGATGATTTTAAACGCCCTTCCCAGGTCTTACACTCCAAGTTCTGCTAACGCTGGAATCCTGGAACTCAGTAGAGGACCAGAGGGCATGGACTTCAGGCTTTTTGGGCCACCCACTCCTTCTAGTAGTGACTCCACCTTGCCTCAAAGCACTGAAGCAGCCTCAGTCAAAATGCTTATGGTAATGAATATGGCCTGTGTTAAGAAAACTCTATTTAGAGCCATGGAAATTTAATTTTCACCTAATTTTCATGTCTCACAACATTATAGTTCTTTGATTTGGGGGTAAAAAGACATTACAAAACACAATTATTCTTAATTCACGGGTCACAGAGAGGCAGGAGGTTTGGTATGGGTCCCTATTTGATCCATTCCCCCTCACTTCACTGCATCCATAGGAAATGAATCTGCTCACTCATTAGTCAGTGGTTTTGTTTTCTCAATCAGCACTTCTGAAGATGTAATGCGTACTTGGGAATCTTATTAAAATGCAGATTGACTCAGTAAAAAGCAGGGTGAACTCTGAAGTCTTCACCACGTCTACCAGACTAGCCTTGAAATCCTTACCTCATCCACACAGCCTTACACTTCAGGTATATGCCACTGTGTCTGGCTTGGATTGTGCACTTGTGTGTGTGGTGTAGGTGTGTTTGTGTTCATATGTGCACATGTGTAGATGCATGTGTGTCTATGTGGAGACCAAAGGCTGGTGTCAGGTGTGTTCCTCAGGTGCTCTCCACCTTATTTTTGGGGACAGGGTCTTCCATTGAACCTGGAGTTACTGATTTGGCTAGACTGACTGGCCAGCAAGCCCCAGGGAATCGCATGCTTTATCACTCTCACCCTGCCCCATGCCAGGCTTTTTATAGGGATGCTGGGGATCTGAACTCAGGTCCTCTTGTTGGTAAGCACTTTACCAACTAGCCTGTCTTCCCAGAACCACTTAAGCTCTTCTATCATGGGTTTTTTTGTCACCTTGATTCTGCTCAGGTACCTGAAATAGAGCCATAAAGAACTGTCAATGTTTTTTCACTATGCTTACATTTGTGCCAAGGGACCCTGTCGCTCCCTTCCCTTCTTCCGGTTCCTGTAAATGGAGGGATACATCCCTGGTCCTCACTCACACCCTGAGTCCTATGGGTACCGGAGTCTGGGTACACAGGGAGAGCTGCTTCTAGCAGGATGCTTGCTGGTTTCTTCACCCAGAGACACCCACCCGGCAACACCCACCCGCAAAGTCATGCCTGTAACATAAGTCTACTCATGCTATTTTAGGGATTTGGTAGGATGGTACAAAAGGCTGGAATGGGCAATCTTCATTTCTTTGTTTCTCAACAAAACTACGTATTGTGTCTCTAAATTAAATCACACTGAGAACACACGGCAGGTACGAGGACAGCACTGTGGCCTTTGTCTTCTCTTCAGCGCTGATCACAAGCCTGGCTGTGACCACCAGAGACTCCCTGGGTTTGCTCAGTGCTAAGGGCTATTGACAAATGATCTAACGAATGTGTGAAAATCATTTTCACCTCATATCCTACTTTGGCTTAAGATTTTGCTTCTAAAACCAAGCTGAAGTACAAACATTAAACTATCTTAACTGATGCCCTTTTAATAGATTTTTTTTTTTTACCCCCTTATCATCCAGTTCAGAAAGTAATTAAGTAGCTATTTAGGGACCAAAGAAGTAGAATCCATACTGGGGGCACATCAAATTTCTGTTTTGTGGCTAAAGGGCATTGGAAAGAACTCACGTTTCTATAGTAACCATAGCAAGGCTGATCAAATCAACAAATAGCAACGATTTATCTGAGTGTTTCCAATGGGCTGTCTTTTTTCCCCCATCTGGAAAAGAACATTGCAAATTAGATAAAGTCTTCAAAGACAATGGAGGCTTTCAGAAAATCCAATTTTGACAATAGTAAATAAAAGAGAAAAACATCTGCTTTCTCTTGTACAATCGAGCCACAGAATCTCATCTTCATTGATTTAAGTACCTAGACTATGGCAGTGATTGGATTCTTAATTTTCTCATTAGTAAGAGAGAATCTTACATTGTTTCCCCAGGTTAAAGGAAAACAGACAACTGGCAGTGTTTCCAGAATGACTTGAAGCTTCGGCACCTTCCTGACAAGCCTCAGGAGGCTCTTTCATGACTCTCCTATGCACAAGCCCCTCACAACCTTCAGATGTATTTGGACTTCTTTTGGTTTACACTCTTGTGTGGTTCTGAACAGCCACGAACATAAAAAAAAAATTCAGAAACAGCATGTTTTTCTGCATCTATCTGGGGTACATGGGAGCCAGTTGGGGGCTGGCAGGTGGGCACCAGCACGTGCCACAGGACAGTTACTAGGGCTCTGTTCCCTGCCCTCACCCTCTGCCCTGCTGATCTCAGCAATCCAGCTGTAGGGAGGAAGAAGTAGCCTTCTTGGACAGCATCCAGTGTGGGAGATGGGTGCTCACATGTGACATGTTTTACCAGTGGGACCTCCCTTGGATCGATCCTGCACTGTCTTGGGAGAGGGGTGACATCAGTGAAGTACGACTGTTTTCCTTCAGAGGCTGTGTGTGTGTGTGTGTGTGTGTGTGTGTGTGTGTGTGTGTGTGTGAGAGAGAGAGAGAGAGAGAGAGAGAGAGAGAGAGAGAGAGAGA